GGCAGATGCTCAGAAATTCAGAAAGTTTAATACCCAAAGTGGTGAAAGTTGATAATACTTTACATTCTTTTTGTTGATCCATTACTCCAGAATAAATAAGTTAATATTTATTTTTTCAGCATTTTAGCAATTACAGATTTTTTTTCCAACAAGTACTGAAAATCTTAAGAAAACTCTCTCTCATAGCAAATTTTTCCCTTTCAGCTCATACTTTTAGAATTAGTCTACATTTAGGATGAGAGCAGAAGTATTCTGATTCATAAGTATTATACAATCCCACATGCTCTTTCCTTAGAAATACTGTCACCAATTATAACAATTGAACGTTGTTTTGTAGTGTGTCCTCACTGCTGTCAGTCTCCTGCAGGATCCACTGCAGCTTTAGAGAGGCGTTTTACTCTACAGTAAATATAAATCTCTTTTTCTGGTTTTTATGGTTAAATTAGCACTTGTGTTTTCCAATTCTTTTTCAGGATAGGCAGAGATATTTTAAGTATAGGTTTATCAGATTGTTCACAGTTGAAAATGCGAAGTTTCTCTGAAGTGACTGGCTAGCAAAGCCCTGAGCTCTGCCTGCAGCTCTGCCTGCAGCTCTGCCTGCAGGTGAGGTTACATGGCGGCAGTCGGGAGGTGAGCTGGGGAAGTTAATCGGGATACTTTCCTCCTCAAAGGAAGCGTTGCTCACTGTAGCCATAGGCTGGGGAGCAAGACAGCAGCTTGAGTTGCACTTGCTTAATTAGCAAGGTGTAAACACCAAAGCGGGCATATGTTCGTAGTGGGAACGTTTGCAGTTTTCACAGGCGCTCTGTAATTAGGAGAGGGAAAAGGCCCGACTTGGCTTTGTGACTCCTTAGAGACTCAGCCTGCATGCTCACCACTGCGGATCCCGCAGGTACTCCTTCCAGGACGAGGAGGACATGTTCATGGTGGTGGACTTGCTTCTCGGTGGTGACCTGCGCTATCATCTGCAGCAAAACGTTCAGTTTACGGAAGAAACGGTCAAACTCTACATCTGCGAGATGGCACTGGCTCTCGACTACCTACGAAGTCAGCATATTATCCACAGGTAACCACACAGGCTCTCCCTCGCAGTCGGTAGCTGGCAGGAGCTGCCCGTGCACCGTGCTGCCCGTGCACCGTGCTGCCCGTGGCTGATTTGGGGCAGGTGATGCTCCCTCTGCTGCCATGATGCCCTTAACCCCATCGGTACCCCCAAGTTGGGGAACTGCCGGCATTAAACTGCACCAGCAGTGCCAGTCCTGGGCACCCTCCGGCTGCTGGTCCTGCTCCCTGTCACTCAGAGGGAGCCTCACGCTTCGCCGGGGGGCTGAAAGCACCTTCCAGGGCAGGCGTCAAAGCAATCTCACAGATACGGGCCCAGTCTTGTGTTATTAATTTTCCTTAGAAATGATGCCTGAACAAGTCAGCTGCTCCCCCTTTTTTGCCCAGGTGCCCAGGAAAAGCATATTTCTAGTCCATCATAAATAGACTTGTTTCATGTTGGGGTATTCTTGTTTTATTTGTTTCTAATTTTTGATAGATAAAAAAGTTGCAGGGTTTTTGTTGTTGAGTTGCATCCTTGATCTGACTGCGATTTTGTCTTGCTGTAACCTTGCTTCTTTTCCCAGAGATGTAAAACCAGACAACATCCTCCTCGATGAGCAAGGTAGGGTCTCTCTGCCTTGCTTTGTCTGCCTCCTGCATTCAAGGGATAGATTCTTTACAGTCTTGGATACTCTGCATCTTTTTATCTAGGAAAAGTGTGGAAAAGGCACCACCCCTTCTAACTGATCGGTGTTTGGTGCATTGTAATACCAGGGAAGACCCACCAAGGGCAGCCCCTCTCCTCGGCACCCCCCGCCTCGCTGCACCCACACTCTGCCTCCTCCCTCGCTAGTGCCCCAGTGCAGAGCCCCCGTGCCAGAGATGCGGTACCTGGCATCGTGGCAGGGCACGAAGCACACGAACTGACTTGGTTGAGTTTTAGAGTGAGTGATCTGCACGTACGCTTTGAGGATAGTTGTGATGTTTTCCTGGGGGGATGGATCTGGGCTGAGCCAGGTGGAGTGAGCTCAGGAACCTTTATGAGAGCATCTGTTGGTAATGGTGGCTCAGTGGCCTACATGGGAGACATACCGTAGGAGATCCTGTAGTGACCTCTGTTCCAGCAGTAGATCTTATAAAACAAAGACACAATCTCTCAGGCTCCAAACCATCAGAGTTTTATCATAAAGCCTCATAAAAACCAAAGCTTGAACTTGCATGAAAGTTCAGCAGAAAATAGCGCAGGGTAGAAAGCCCAAACACACATGGGAGAATGGAGATGTAGGGGAAGACTTGGGAGGACAGGGCAGTCCGTGATTTCCACACCTTTTTCATTGCTGCCTTGTAGATAGAGAGCAGAAAGTAGCAGGTGGGTTTTCTGTATATCAGGCTGGCTTGAAGATAATGACATTTTCTGAATTTTAACTTTCAGTCCTGATGACAGAGAAAGTAGAAACAGAGAAGATGTTCCAGCACTTTTTGTGATATCTTAATGATTTCTTCATACAGGCTTAGGATTTGGGAGGTATTGTTATGATTTCATTCAACTGGCATGTCCAAATTTGCCATGGTCTGTACAGAGTGGCAGTGGAGTGTTTTATAGCTCTGGGACTTTGGGGTAGTCATGGTTCGGTGGCTTTTATCAAAACCAGTTCTAGGGTTTGATCAATGTGACCAAGGCAATATCTTAGTATAGCGTGTCCCTGTTGTCTTCTCGCTGACCGCAGGTTCTGGATAGAGCAATTTGACCAAGTGCTGGAGCTGGTGCAGGTTACTGGGTCGCTCCGAGTGCGATTTAAAATCAGGACCCAAAGCTAGCTACCATTTAATCACCTAGCCAGCCTGAGATCCTGGGAAAGCTTTGGGATCTGTTACGGCCTGCGGTGGGGTCTAACCTGACCTGCCTGTGCCCATGCTGCACTGTCAAGGGCAGGAGCTTAGGAAACAAATGTATTCTGACTCTACATTGCCCTTGTTCTGCGCTGCAATTAATTCTGTCTTAAAATGTGTCTTTGTTTAAGGTCATGCACATTTAACAGATTTTAATATTGCAACAATAATTAGGGACGGTGAAAGAGCAACTGCATTAGCTGGAACAAAGCCATACATGGGTAAGAAATAATAGCTGTTCCTTTACGTCTGTATTTTACATTTCAGGAGCGCTCACTGCATGCTGCCTGACAGTCCCTGTCTGTGACAAAGGCACTGAATTAATTTAGCACATTAATGCATGCACCCAAGTCATTCAGCGGAGCCTGATCACTGAAAAGTGAAACTCCCGGCGTGAATGAATCGCTGTCACACCCTCCCCATCCCGCCCTGCCCTCCTCGCTGGCCCTGGGCTGTGACTTGGTGCATCCCAGCAGGCGCTGGGTTTCTGCCGACCCTCACTCGCTCGGTTGGGAGGGCTCCCCTGCGTGCGCCGGGTAACCCAGCTGCCCAGCCAGGGCTGGCCTGCTGCTGCCACTGCCACCGCTGCTGCTGCCGCCACCGCTGCCACCAGCCCTGACATGCAAAGCCTCCCCTTGGGCAGTAGTGCATGAAAATAACCGTAAGGTTTATGTACTGACTTACATGAAGTACTGACATAGAAACAAACTGAAGTCAGTGAATAACCTGTTGCATTTTGCCCTTTCTGTTCAGCCCCGGAGATTTTCCATTCCTTCCTGAACGGCGGGACGGGCTACTCCTTCGAGGTTGATTGGTGGTCCCTAGGAATCATGGCTTACGAACTGCTGCGGGGCTGGGTAGGGCTCCCGGACGGTCTGAGGTCTAAGAACGTGCTTTCTGAATGACTGCAGAGAGGAGAGGGAATTTCTTCTCATCTGTCTGCTTTTTTCCCCCCAGAGACCGTATGACATCCACTCCAACAACCCTGTGGAGTCTTTAATTCAGCTCTTCAGTACTGTCAGCGTTCAGTACTCATCTGCATGGTCAAAAGAAATGGTTGCTCTATTAAGAAAGGTAAATAGTCCTGCTGCTGTGGTTTACATTGTACATTAGCTGCAGTGCATGCGGGACTAGCTGGAAAATTTTCAGCATATTAATAAATAATGTAAAATTGAAGTAGGACTAATTTTTATGACTTTGTTGAGGCTTAAGCACAGATTAATCTTGTGTTTTGTTTATTATCTCTGTAATAAGATGCATTGCGTTTGACAGCAAGGGAAGGAAAAAGGCTGGTTTTGGTGTGGCAATCAAATTCCTACCTGAGCTGGAAGTGTGCCCTTCCAGCATCCCCCTCGTTGATCGTCATAACCTAAAAAGACAGCGACCGTGGCCGAGGCAGCCGTGTGAGGCAGAGGAGATGTGCTGGCCCTGCTGTGTTAGCTGCTCCCTCTCGCCAGTCCTGCTGGGCTGAAGGGGCTGATTCGGTGTGTTCGGTTGTGAGAATTGTCTGGGGGGTTCCGTATCCATGGGACGGTCTGCTGTGGGAGAAAGTTGGTGCTTTGGCGTGGAGGCTGTGGTTTTAGCTTCTGCTTGCTTGGGAACTCAAGAAAAGTAGCTGATGGGTGTGCTATGAAAAAGATATACATGGTGCTGACAGCAAGTAAGTGACTCGGATGCAAGTTAATGTTGAGTGGACATTTACATGGTTAGATTTTGTTTGAACGAGGAGCAGCGCTGTGAGCGATGGCTGCAGCGGAGCATTCAGCAGGTTCACATTGCCATCTGCTGGGCTGGCGGCCGGCGGGCTTCTGGAGACCGGGCAGGAATTGAGTGTCTCACCTGGAAAATGCCAGCGGCCACCTCA